TATAACACAGCCCCACAAAAAAAAAAGTGTTCGGACTTGTGGGTCGGACATATATATTCCCATGTATTTTTCGACGCTGAATCCGATCCCGAGCTCAGAAATGGCCCTTCACGTCTGGAATTGGCCCCAGGGGCCAAAAATGGCCTCTATAGGGCCTGAAAGATGGATTCCGGAATATGGTGAGGTCGAAGGTGCATTTTAAAGCCAAACCCGGATTTGTGGTCGAAAAGTTTATGGCCAACTGAAATTCCCCGTTTGGGACCGGGAAAATGACCCCTTAGGGGCCGGAAAATCGTGTTTCGGACGTCGCAATCGCAACACAGCCCCACAAAAAAAAAGTGTTCGGACTTGTGGGTCGGACATATGTATTCCCATGTATTTTTCGACGCTGAATCCGATTTCGAGCTCAGAAATGGCCCTCCATGTCTGGAATTGGCCCCAGGAGCCAAAAATGGCTTCTATAGGGACTGAAAGATGGATTCCGGGATGAGGCAAGGTCGAAGGTGCATTCTAAAGCCAAAGCCGGATTTGTGGTCGAAAAGTTTATGGCCAACTGAAATTCCCCGTTTGGGACCGGGAAAATGACCCCTTAGGGGCCTGAAAATCGTATTTCGGACGTCGCAATCGCAACAGTGGTATTTTTATGCACTTTTAAATTCTGGAACTCTGACTGTGCTTGAAAAGTTTATGGCAACTGGAATCTCCCGTTTGGGACCGGGAAAATGACCCCTTAGGGGTCGGAAAATCGTGTTTCGGACGTCGCAATCGCAACAGTGGTGTTAAATGGTTTTTAAATTCTGAAATTCGAGCACAGTTTGAGTTCCAGAATTTAAAAGTACATAAAAATACCACTGTTGCGATTGCGACGTACGAAACACGATTTTTCGGCCCCTAAGGGGTCATTTTCCCGGTCCCAAACGGGAGATTCCAGTTGGCCATAAACTTTTCAAGCACAGTCAGAGTTCCAGAATTTAAAAGTACATAAAAATACCACTGTTGCGATTGCGACGTCCGAAACACGATTTTCAGGCCCCTAAGGGGTCATTTTCCCGGTCCCAAACGGGAAATTTCAGTTGGCCATGAACTTTTCGACCACAAATCCGGCTTTGGCTTTAGAATGCACCTTCGACCTCGCCTCATCCGGGAATCCATCTTTCAGGCCCTATAGAGGCCATTTTTGGCCCCTGGGGCCAATTCCAGACATGGAGGGCCATCTCTGAGCTCGAAATCGGATTCAGCGTCAAAAAATACATGGGAATACATATGTCCGACCCACAAGTCCGAACACTTTTTTTTTGTGGGGCTGTGTAATTTATGTTCGTGCAAATTTCTTGAAAGTTGTTGATACGTTAGTTACTAAGATAATTACATGCAATTTTTTTCTTTACTAAATATTCTTGAAAAGTAAACTTACAAAAGGAAATCAATTTGTCAAGATTTCCCTGAAGGACAGCACAAACCTTTATCTTTAAATACTCGTAGATATTTATTTTGCTTATGAGCAGATATAATATTTACAGAAAAATGATTAGAATAACACAACTGCGATTGCGTAAGGGTTTTGGAAAATTAAGATAATCTTACAAGCTAATGAGACAAAAGGTGTAAATGTTTCAAAACGTGTCTCGCTTTGAAAGATTACTTTGATATCAAAAAGAATTTTCCAGTATTTTTTGTAAAATCAGTTACAAAAAATAAATTGTACGGACACATTTCCTTTTTATAATCTAGATATAAGTTTTTTATGTGTTGAAAATGCAGGTCAAAAGTGAAAATGCAAATTCAAAGGAGTAAAATATTACAAGTTTTTGAACAAAGAAATTACAGAGAGTTCAGTATAGTTTATAAAAAATATGAAAATGCTATTTATTTCTAAGCGAATTATTGTTCAGTTAGAGATACACCATCTTACTTAATTTACTTTAGCACACTTTTTTATTAATGTGCAAGTGTGATCTACTCTTTTCCAGATCCCTTGTAAGTATTATAATAAAATGCAATATACATTTAATTTAGCAGAAAATGGACTGCTACAGTGCAAATTATTATTAGAGCTGTCACAATCGTTCCAGTCAGCCGATTTCCCTGTAATCGGACAATTTCTTTTACAATTTTAGTTGTCTTTTGATACATAATTGTGTGTAATTCGAGAGTAGTTAGTAATAAAACACAGCAAACAATTTATACTATACTAACTAAAACAGAAACAAATTTATCGGTAAGTAGCTATAAAGTTATTAACATATGAAAACTATTTAGGTGGAAAGCAAATCAGATATATTATTTGGAATAGAAAACAATTTTATGAAAGTAAAGGAATATACCTAATGAGTCTAAAAATACTTATTTAAGCTGTTCCCTTTATTTAAAAGTTTGATTTTTTATTTTTTTTTGTAATATTAATAAAAAAAACAAAGCAGCATTCAACACGTGTTATTTCAAGTGCATGTGGTCATCGGAACAGTTAAATAACGAACAATACTTTGTTTTACTAAAAAAATTATAAACAATAATGTAATTCAGTATATACGTACTTGTATGTATAAAAACGTTTAAAATAAATATTAATAAACAAAAAGTAATATAACTGTTAAGCAGTGCACCACACGTATAAAAACTGGTGAAAATCAGAAGACCCAATTTATGTTTGATTACCCTGTATACTGATTGCATGTAACCTACCATTTGACATAGTAAATAATAAAACATTTCATTCCTCCTAGAATAAATACAACCCCGAGTGAAAATTGCCATGTCGAAGCAGCTTATAAGTAGATTATTTAATTATGCAAATATTACATCAATAGATGTCGAATGGTCATTTTCTTCAAAATAAGATATTTTATCACCGCCGTGAATAAGTTTCGCTGAAACAAGGGTAGAACCATACCTGATGATGCGATCTATAATGGATCCCATCCAGATTGTGAAACCGATGGTAACGATATGTAAAACAACTTACGTGTTTCACAATGATATATACAATGACATAAATTCATTGAATCCATTGTTCACTTTTTTAATGTTGATGATCCGCACGCCTTTGGTGATCGAACAGCTCTAATTACACAGCCCCACAAAAGAAAAAAAGTGGCAGGTTCCAAAGACAAGACCATGGGATCCATATGGTTCTGGAGTCGCTGAATCCGAATCCGGTGTCCGTTTGACACGATTAGCTCTGGTTTAAGGTCAGTTCAAGGTCAAATGTAGAAAATCAATTGTCAACGACCTAAACCTATGCATCTACCCGTTTTTGGAGTCTCCGAATCCGAGTCCGGGGTCCGTTTGACTCGATCAGATTTGGTTTAAGTTCGGTTCAAGGTCAAATGTAGAGAATCAATTGCTAACAAAGTAAATCTACATATCTATAAGTATAAATATTTTGGTTTTAAACCTAAGTGAAAAATTTGATTGGGTTTGAGCAGAGAGAAAGGTTTCACCAAGATATTAAAGAAGGGAGAAATTTGGGTGGCAATGAAATTATCACTGATATTGCTAGTGATACTAGTGATGACGAATAAATTCCATATAACGTTGTGAAAAAGACAGGAACAATATCACAAAAAAAGTAAATGATGTTCGAGATTTGGGCCTGGCAGAGAATGGAGCAGAGTTCCTAATATCATGGCTAACAAAATACTAAGCAAGCCAGAAATGTGAAAGCTTTTTACTATCAGTACAGAAATAAGGAATATTTTTCTAACGATGAAAAATTTTCCTTAGGTTACTACTATGATATTGTTGGATAAATCACTTCAAACATGGATGTCATAAACCTAACGCACATTGAAATAAGAGTGTCATATTTTGAGGATAGTCTTACATAGGGTCAAATACGAACCACATAAATGGCTTTACATTTGACGTTGAACTGAACTTAAACCAGATCTGATCGAGTCAAACGAACACCGGATTCGGATTCCGCAACTCCAAAAACGTATAGATACCTAGGTTTAGTTAGTTGAAATTGATTTTCTGCATTTGACCTTGAACTGACCTTAAACCAGAGCTAATCGCGTCAAACGGACATCGGATTCGGAATCGGCGACCCCAAAAACTTATAGATACATAGGTTTAGTTTGTTGACAATTGATTTTCTATATTTGACCTTGAACTGACCTTAAACCAGAGCTAATCGTGTCAAACGGACACCGGATTCGGATTCAGCGACCCCAAAACCATATAGATACCATAGTCTTGTCTTTCGAACCTGGCCCTTTTTTTTGTGGGCCTGTGTTAATATTAATGTGATGTTATTGCTTACTTTCAGTTTTTTTAAATATTTTTAGATTTGTGTAAAAAATGTTACATTGTATTTAAAATAATTCATAAGAAGGTTCGTGCGCCTTTAGTGTGAAAGTATCTTTAGCTCTAGATTGAAAAAAATCTGTTCCCGATAACCAAGCAGTGAAATTTCTTTTTTACACTTCTGTCAAAGGAGACACAAAAAGTTGTGAATTAAAAAATATCTATGAAATACTTCGTATTTCTAAAATTCAAAGGCTACGTAAAGTAAAGAGTTGTTTATAAAAATACAAAAATAACAATAAATAAGAATTACAATACAATACAAGAATTAAATTAGGAAGTATATATATTTTTTAGCTTAATGATGATGAAAATAAAGGCGAGCTGATACTATTTATTTCTATAAAGAAAACATTTCTCTTTAAATAACTTTTAAAATTGTCTGCATCTTTCAAGAGACAAAAAAACAAATGTTAAAGATATACTCATCTTATAATAAATATACTTATTTTACTCTATAATAAGTAAAAATTTAATTTAGATATATTGCATATAACTCTATATTCGTACAAAAAATCATTTCTTCTGACTAAAGCCTCGAACTTGAGATCACATTCGACGTTACGACAGCCTGACCTCTTCAGGTTAAGCATCCGTACGAGCACGCGCTACCGGGTAGGTGCTTTCAAAGTACGTCTGACCTAGTCCCTGGTGGTACTTTTATATTATTCAATACTCCTGCCGTGAAATCCACCAGTAGACGCTTCATTCTGCTTCGGTACGGAGCTGAGAAGTCTTGGTGAATGTGTGTGACAACCGGCAGATACATCCAGCATCACGAAGGCAGCAACAATGAGTAAGGTAAGGCTAATGGGTTTGTTAATGAACTCATTGTTTATGTTTATATCCTAGATCTGTGATATTGATCACGTATACATTTACTATATTAGTTTATTTCTAATACACCACGTTTTCTTGTAAAATAATGTCTTGGTCTTTCCTTTAGGAAATTATTTATTAATTACTATTTAAGGAAAGTATCTAGATAGGATCATGAGTTTTTGAAAAATTTGAGGGTTACGTCAAAAATATTTAGGAATTACAAAGTTTTCCTCTGTTTATTGGGATTGGGCAAAAGGTTCAAGTAGACACACTATTTTTGCTTAATCAAAATTGCCACAGAAAAATAAAGATGAACAGGTTCATGAAAAATATTTTCAAAGCTTTCAAAAGTCGTAACAGTTTATAAATTTCAGTGGATTAAGAACAAAAACATTTTTAATAATAGTTTGAATTAAAAAATTCGAGTCGAAATGTTAAGCCAAAAAATATGTTTTATGAAACAAATCGGTACATTATAATTCTTCAAATCAAAGCCTAACATCTTTCATGAGTCAAAAGTGAGAAAAAGATTTCCTACGTTCTTTATCGGAAAATTAGCTACGTCTCTTTCTTCAAAATAACAAGTTTCGTTTAAAAAATATTTTAAACAATTCACTTTTTAACCCCGGAAGTCGGTTGGGGCACCTCTTTGATTAAAATATGTCATTGACCCTATATTTTGACAATAAAATTTATACAAATGCAATAATTAGTAAAGTTGTAAGAATCATTATTTTCTTTTAATTCATGCAAGAAGATATTCTGAACATATTTTTTTAACCAAGTTTATTGCCACCTATTTTTACATACAACAGTGACGTAACAATGTTTTTGATAAAAAAAATTGTGAACTTTTCTTCACATTTGGCTCAAAAATTATATATTAGACCGAGATTAAGTCTTCATTCAAAATATCGGACACCGGAGGATGGCGTTGTCCGATTTTCAAAATTCTTTTTTTTATGTGGTCTACTTTTTGATATTATATATTTTGACGTGATATTTTTTACTGCCTACTATCATTAAGAAAATACCCTCAAAAATTAAAAAACATCATTTCCTATTTGATCACACCTCAAAACCCTAAATACAAAGTTTCATTATTATAGCTTTTACAGGGTGTTCACAAAACAGGTGCAAACTTCGAAAAATTTCACTTATTGCAGTATCCTCTATTAACAGTGGAAAATATTTTTTCATAATTTTATTGACCGAATGTCAATGCAGTTTCATTGATTTCACTCATACAGGGTGCTCACAATAGGACAACCAAATTATATACATTTTTTATTATACCAGAAATGAGTTTCGCAACGAAATAATATTTAAATATTACTGTTTTCTATTAGTCCACCATCATTTGACATGCACTGTTCAATTCGTTTCCTCTTATTTCTAAAAACTCGCCTCAATTGATGTGGTGTTATTTGTCGACATGCTGTCTAATTTTATTACATAAATCTTCTGGGGCCTTGTTTTATACACTTTATTTAAAGTTTCCCATAAAAAAATCAAGAGGCGTCAAGTCTGGAGCTCTTGACGGCCACTCAACTAACGGACTGTTGCGACCTATCCACTTTTACGGGAAATACTCATTCATGAATAGGTGCTCCATGTAATTGAAGGTTCTGCCTTACATGAAGAGGAAATGCATGTACTGAATCCCAGAAATCATTATTTAAAAAATTCATAAACATTTTTTCGATTAGATTAACGTAAAAAAAAGAAAGGACCGATTATTCGATCACATAAAGTCCCACAAAACACGTTATTTTTTTAATTAAGATTTATGTAGTAGAATTAGACAAGCATGTCGGCAAATAAGACCATATTAGTTGAGGAGAGTTATTAAAAATAAGAGGAGACGAATTGATTTCTAGTGTTAATACAGGACACTTTGCAATGAGTGAAATTTTTCGAAGTTTGCACCTATTTTGTGAACACCCTGTAAATGCTATAATAATCAAACTTTGTATTTAGGGTATTTAGGTATAATCAAATTGAAAATGCTATCCATTTCTTTCTTAAAAAAATGCCTAATATGTTTTTCAATTTTTGAGGGTCTTTTCTCAATGATGGTAGGCCGTAGAAAAGATCATATGTCAAAGGTGTTCCGACTTTAAGTGAAACACACTGTATATACAGACTGATAGTTTTTTTATATATACACTTAAACAGAAAAACGCCAAAATATGCTTCAAATAAAATATTTAAAATTTTGATACCTTGAAAAAATTATATTTATTCATATACCTACAATCAATTTGTTCTAACAGCTTATATTATCAAAATACAATCATCTCTAATTTTGTCACATACATTATTTAAATGAGATTATTAATATTTAAGTAGCAAAATTCTGGTATTCCAAATGAAGCTCTAATAGTGAATATAACATACATTCATTGGGTATTAATTTTTATAGACAAATGTAGAGGACCAAAACATGATAAAATATTTACAACGATGATTTCCCAAAATGTAATCTAGATATAATATTGTATCAATCATAACATCGATAAAGTAAATAGAGATATAATAATAAGTTCTCAAATACAATAATTGATTTAAATAAACTAAAAATAATAAAAATAAAAATAATACTTTAATAATATTTGAAATACAGTAATTCGATTGTTTTCGTAGAAAAAACTGACTGGCTCTATAAAAATATAATAATAAGCACTTGTATCACCTAGTACTCAACACAATTTTATTCCTTTTTTTACATAAATATAGACAAGATATGACTTACTAGTTATAGTTTATCAAAGTGTCAATATCATTGAATTTTGTTGAACGATTTTTAAACTCAAAATTAAAAGGTTACAAATCAGAATCAGCATTCAGCAAAAGTCTTGTCTACATACTCAGACTTTTCGTAAGTTCATTTAAAAAGCATTTTAAAACTAACTAGTCGTATTTATATTTTGAAAAACATTTACCACGTTTTAATCTTAATTTTATTGGCAAATATTTGAATTTGATTTTCAAAAGGGTAAAATCAATATCAATCATTTTTAAATATTTCTCTTTACCTCCTAATGTTTCGTTGGAAATACGTTACAGAATGTAGCAAATTCGTAAATACGGAAATGGTTACTCATTGTAACTTTCCGGTATGATACTCAAGTGTAATAATAATAATACCTAATTGACAGTGGAACTGATAATTACTTTATATTTTTTGTGTTAAAGGTGTCACATTATAATACTCTATTACATCTATTTACATGTCCAACACCAGTAATTTAATTTTTTTGAATTATACAAACATATCTTTAAGGATAATTGAGATGTTTACCTGTAATAAAATTAATAATAAACAAGGCCTGCATATAATTACAAGTATACATGTATTTCATTTTATATTATACCTGGTAACTCTAAGTTTGAATTATAGTATCTAACAAATTTTTTTAAATTCAGTATTTGAGTACTTATTCTTGCGAGCGAATTTATAAAATATTTTTGTTTTTATACTTATAGATTGTTATTTCTTTATTTCACAAGTAGTGCAGGGAAAACAGGAAACTGTCCACATTTATAATTAATAGAAAACACACAAACATACATTATGCATAAATATTTGATTTGTCTTCCTAATACAAACGCTAATTTATGTTAAAGCATAGAAGATTAGTTAGTTGTTCTGTTGCTTTCTGTTTGAATAAAACGTTTAATTCTGCCGGTATTTAAAACATTTGTCTTTTATTTCCTTTGCCTGTTATTGATAATGGAACTCCATGTTCAGTGTTTCTCGCACTAAAGTTGATGTAGGTAGACTAGTATTATCTAATAATAAAAAACAAAGAGCAAGATGCAATTTGAAAAAATATGTTAAAAAACCTTTTCAATTCAATTTATTTAATTAACCAAAATGCACACAATCAGGAAAGGATCCTTTCAGAAAAATAACATTACATAAATAATAAAATATAATATGTACCATTTTATTGTCTAGACTTAATTTGACTTAAGAAATCAGCCCTATTGAATTCTATTATATTATTATATTAATGTTAAAACTAATTTATCGATGCGATTGACATATTCTCTAGCTTCTAAAAAACTAAAAGTCAATTAGTAAAACTCTTACGTTTAATTAATTAAATTTTTACATCACGGATCATATTAATTGACTTAAAATGTTAAACGCCAAACGATTAAACGATACGATAAAAGTAAAAGTTTATAATTTCTCCACACGAAGGTAAAATGAAAGTATCTGTAAAAGCATTCGTTTAGTTGTTGTTATTAGAGCAATAGACTTCAAGTTATAACATTGTTCTGGATCAGTCTTCCCAGTTTGTTTTCAAAAAAAAACGTCATAATGCTTCATGAAGTGCGTGAAGTGTTTTGTTTTTTTTTTTCAGTGTCAGATTTTTGGTTACGCAAAACTATTTTCATAAAAAATATCTGTTGGCTGATCCTTCTAACACAAGAGTTTATTTGATAATTTCATTTTACGGTAATAATAAATAAAGAAAACAATTAATACTTTCGTGGATATAAATAACTTTAGACGATATGATGAGGTAATTTGTTACAAAAGTGCAAGAAAATATGCACTTCAATACGATGTAAGTAAATTGTACCATGTCATTCCGATAAAATGACATTTTCACAATTATTTGTAATCAACAATTTATGTGTTTGTATAAGAAATCTATTTGTAGGTATATAAATGAAAAGAAATATTATTAGACTACAAAAGCATTACCCCTTAAACTTAATTTTTGATTCACCGACTCGATTGAATTTAATATAAGAAATATTTTGTTATTCTTAATAGCCTAGATATAAATATTTTTTAGATTGGAGGAAAATTAAAATGAGATGTGGTAGTCTCCCTCTAAAACTACCCCTAGCCCAGGTGCAATATATTAAATTTAAATAATACTGCCTAAGTTGCACTTTTTTTAACAAGATACCTCGAAAGTCTCCTAAGATATCCCAAAAATTGTTTGAAATGCAAT